GCTGAGTCCGCTGCTCCCGCTGAGTCCGCTGCTCCCGCTGAGTCCGCTGCTCCCGCCGCGCCTGCCGAGTCTAGTGGCCCTGCCGCTCAGCCTACTGCCCCTGCCGAGACCCATGTCCCTGTTATTCAGCCTACTGCCGGTGGTTCCAGTATCCCTGGCATCCCTGCTCAGTCTAGTGTCCCTCTCATCAAGCCTACCGCCCCCGCTGTCCAGCCAACTGCCCCAGCTGGTAACACTACCGCTCCTGCCGTGACCCCGAAGCCCTCCGCAAGCTCCGGCTTCCCTAAGTTCGCCAACTCGACTATTCCGAAGACCTCTACTTCTTCTTCTAGCCACACCACCGGTGGTGGAAACTTTGTTGGCGGTGGTGGCGTTCCTGCCAAGCCAACCTCCACTGGTTTGGCTCCTACAAGCCCCGGCTCCAAGCTCATCATTCCTGGTCTCACAGCTGTCGCCAGCATTGCCATTGGACTGATGTTCATGGTATAAGCAGCAACCCTTTTCGATGATGGTGATCTCCGCTCCGAAGCAATAACAGATGAAAGATGATGTTGCAGAAACGTTGACGAAGCGGGCCATTTTATGATATCTCTATTTGACATATAATAACTTCTATTTTTGATTTCAGGGTCAATGGTTTGGAATTCTCGACTCTGTCTCTCTTATTTTTTATTTTTTATTCTTTCTTTTTATGGGGTGTTTGGGTTTGGCGTTTAGATCGGTTATTAAAATCTCATATTAATAATAATAATAGACTGGCATTCAAAATAGCTCTCTTCCACTTGTCAAGCGTCGCTCCAACAGATATAGAAACATTTTCAACAAAACCTGCCCACTTACACACTCCAACCCACCCCTCAATCCCCTCTCTCAAAAGGAACAAAATGATAAAAATAAATAATATAATAAAAGGCTACTCCTCCCCAGGCCAAGAATAAGCAAAAGGCAACAACTCCCCAACGCCAACAACCCTAGGCCCCTCCTCACTCAAAACAATAACCCTAATCCCAGGCCACAAATCGAGCAAAACCTGTCGACACCGTCCACATGGATTCAAAATCCGTCGGGTATCCTCAACAGCCACAATATGTGTGAGATTCTCCGCCCCAGCAGCGGCAGCACTCCCCAAGGCAGCGAGTTCGGCACAAGGGCCACCGGTAAAATGGTGGACGTTTACGGCGGAGAAGATCCGGCCGTCAGAGGCGAGGATAGCACTGGCGACGCTGTGAGTGTTGGAGGGTTTAATGCTGGTTATGGCTTTTGTGGCGGCTTCGACGAGGGTGGTTTCTTGGGGGGTGAGGGTGGACATTTTCTTTCTTTCTTTCCTTTTTTTTTTGGTCTTGTTTCTTACTTTCTGTCTTTTGTTGTTATTGTTGAGGTTTGGTTTAGAGAGAGAATGAATAGATTATTGTACTTTTGGTTTGGACTTGAGACGGAGTAGGTACGGGTCTATTCTTATACTTCGTGTGTTTCGTCCCCGACACCCCGATTGGGTATAGAGAGTTTTCTGGGAACTAACAATTCTGCCTATTGGAGGTTACATCCATGAAAACCAGTGGGTCTGGACTGTGTTGATATGATTTGTTCAGAAGGTAGTTGAGAGCATTGGGTTTTAGTCTGGTAATTCTTCACGATGTGACTCTTTGTCTTGTGCTGGTTTCTTTCATGGGTTTGTTGCTTTGGTATGTTACCTTGACTTGGTCTTGTATCTTGTGTTCTAGGGCATTGGGTGTCATTTATTACTGTTTATTTGGATTAGAAGTTTTATGTGGAGTAGTGTTAATGGTAGTACTTACAGCAACGGTTGCTATAAAGTTATTGTGTCTGGTATTGTGGTCTTTGCAATATGGGAAGTACTATCTATTCCGAGTACATGCATCGGTAGGAAGGATTTCTATAAAACGAATAGAATAGAAAAATACGACATCGCAACCAACTCCCTGAGCTCCAGGAGTCATATCTAACATATGATGATGTTCCTACTTCCAACACTCCACCTCCCCACCTCCCCTCAGCACCGCAACCCGCATAGTAGCCAAAAGGTTCCTAGCTGCACGAGAATGGTCATAGACACCCCCATTAAACAGCGCCGTAGCATCCTTCCCCAACATACCCGTAATAGTAGCCTCACCTCCAGGATGCTCAGTCAGGAACGCCCCGAGATCATGCACGACGCCTTCAACCATGATAAGCACCTGTCCCATCCCCACTCTCCGCTGATACTCCATCCAGTCAATAACAGGAAGTTCCTCAAGCGGCGTGCCCCAATCGAGACGTCGCTTCTCCTCGTCAAGTTGTTTAAACCTCTGCTGCAGGCGTGCTTTGGCGATCTCATTATGCCGAAATCTCTTCAAGTCGCCCGCCAATCCGACAAAGCCACAGGCCCAGATAAACCACTTCGTCACATCGACCTGATGCCACTCAATTCCATTCCGATAGTCCGACGGAAACTCATGATGAAAGTTATGAAACCCCTCGCCGAGGGTGATAAGCGCCGTGAGCAGATGATCGCGCGGCGTATGTCGATCATCATACGGCTGATGGCCCAGATAATGGGCAAGAGAATTCACACAGAACGTAGCCTGGTTGACGAAGAAGGCTCTCAGAATGCCGGCGTAGAGAAACCCACCGATCCAATCGTTCCACCCCAGTCCGGCTACCAGACAGGGGAGTAACCAGCCCATGCCGAAGGCGACGAGGAAGTAGTACTGATGTTGCCAGGCTACGACGGGGTCGTGGTCGAGATCAGAGAGGTTGATGCGAGCCCGTTTTTTTCTCTCGTTCCGCGGCTGACGGAGGAGAACCCATAGGATGTGGGCGTGAAGGATGCCTTTGTTCACGGTGTATGGATCAAGGTCGGTGTCTGTGTATCGGTGGTGGAGGCGATGTTCGCGTACCCAGAACCGGATTGAACCTTGGAGACTTCCGGCGCCGAACGCAGCTAGGAGCCATTTGAGGGGGGTTGATGCTGTATAGGATCTGTGGGCCCATAGGCGGTGGTATCCTGTGGTGGTGTTGTTAGTTTCTCTTTTGATTTATTCTTTTTTTTTATGAAAAAAAAATCTGAGAGTAGAAGAGTGGTTTACCGGCTGTTATAGAACCCAGCGAAAACAAGTAGTATACTCCTGATAGGACCAGAGTTTTCAAGATCAAAGGAACCCAAAGTGACTGGATAAAAGCCCATAGAGGGATGAGAACTAGCATGAAGAAATTAAACCATTGGATGCGTTGATACCACGGTTGGTGGTCTGTGAGACTACTTGTGGCCATTGTGAATCTATGACATTTTCTGGTCTTCCCGAATTTCTGCTGGGTAGAGATGCTTGCTTTTATATGAGGGTCTACCTTAAAATTTTTTTTTTTCCTCCGAAAAAGAAGATATCTCATAATCTAGAAGAGATTCAGTTCACTTGTCTTACCTTAAGTAAGGGATGTGGGTCACGCTGCATCTCTGGGTCATCCTGTGTTGGTGACTGGAATTGGAATGAAGGGAAACATGATCATAAATGGAACGTGATACGTCTATATCTGGTGTTGCAGGTACTATATGACCACGTCATATTTATTGCATTAACTTGACGCTAGATCGTTGTAACCCTGGACCCAGTTTCAGTGGGCCATATGATAGATCCAGAACATTGCACCCTGGAGGCATCCTTCATGTGACCTAGCAGTCCAGTCTAGTATTGCCATCGCTGACCGGATCGTTACAGGTTGCAGTGCAGAAGTGTATGCAATATGACTTTTGTTTCGTCTATGTATAGTGCTAATGCCGAATCTAGTTAATAATAATATCTGGCTTAGATTATAAAAGATTCCTATGAACAGAAAATACAGGGGATGAAGTGAAACCATAGAGCAAAGTTGAGCGACAGGGAAGATAGCTGGCAATACTCCACATCTCATCAATCTATGACCTAGAAACCCAGTTCGTCCACTGACAAGCACAACCCCCAGTTCCACCGTCAAACCCACCATAGCCCGACTCACTCAAAGCAGAATCAGACATATTAAAGATTCCAGGTGCCGGGTTGATGAGCTTACCGCCGAACCCGCGGTCTTCGAGTTGTAATTTCACCTCGGTCGAGTTGACATGCTGATCTGATTCCATACCGTAGCAGTACACCATCTTCTTCTTTATCGCGCCCCCGTGCCGATCTAGAGTGATCGTTATAGGATACGGGAAGGAACCGGGACGAACGAAGTCAGTAGCGGAGTTCGAACTAGTTGGATTGCTGGTTCCTGTGTGGGTGGGTGTTGGCGTTGTGCTGACAGATGGGCTGTTACTGAGGAGCGCCTTTCCAGGACGAGTCCAGATCTGAACGAGAAAGCGTGTCTGGGCCCAGGTACACCTGACTCGGGCATGTGCTTTGCTTGGGCCGCCGTTGGCATCGCTTATAGAATCATCGTTCTTGCTGTCCGTGAGTGGGGCAGATGATTCAAGGAAAATAGACCGGTCGAAGTAGGTATAGAAGCCATAGTGCTCGGTGTCCTGCCCGCGGTTGTATAGCCGCACAGGCTGTGACTCGGGCAGAGGATAGAGCTCTGCGGCTGCAGCGGTGCCGTCGGAGTCTAGGTCTGGAGATGGAATGAGGGATTCTATGTCAGGGAACGAATTGTCTGATCTCCGTGTCAGCTGGGTGGTGGACATCTGGAGAGGGGAGAGTATTGTCATGTAGAACGGAGTCTCTTCGCCCGCATAGGGAACATTGTTCTTATCAGTGGTATTGCCCAGAAATGCCTGGTCTTTCATGCCTGGCGGGGATGGCGACGGGCTGAACAAGTTGTCAGATCGTCTAGAAACGCTTGCTTTGCTAGACTTCGACGCAACAGTCGTGCTATTCGGATATGTCCCATTACGAAAACGAATCTCGACGCGAAAATTAGGTTGATTTGCAGCATAAGGCTTGTTGGCTGACTGCTGTTCATTGGGCAAGGCGCAGCTCCAGAGGGTGGAAGGTGTAATACAGCCGGATTTTTGTACTTGAGGCTCGGGTCCAGCAACTGTCGCAATGCCTGTCGGCATAGGTGGATAGCCGGTTAGATTCAGCCATTGCGACTGGACAGGTGTCTCGTCCCCCCTTCTGGTGAGCATTATAGCGAGAACAACGGCAACCACGACAATGATAATGAAGAATGAAGCAATGGCCGCATACCACCGGCGCCTTAGCCGTCCTTCACGTCCAGGTCTCCCAAAACATCCTTTGTTGCTGAAATAACCTCTACCGCGCCATAGCCCACCAGCTCTCCTACCGATTGCATCTTCCTTCTCGAGCCTTCTTCGTCGAGACTCTATTCTATTGCTTTCTGTAATCGGATTCGTCGTTACCTCCCGTGTGATCGGAAGAGAATCTACACGGGGCGGTAGCGTGGCGGGAGTATTACGATGAGACGTATACGCAGGCGCCGGGGTCGAGTGTATGTCAGATAGAGGGATTGAGCCTGTCTTTTCTGTTGCTCGTTGTAAACCTGGGGAGACAGGACCAGGAGATTGCGGTTGCGCTTGTGGCTGTACTTCATGCTTTTGCGTCCCTTCGTTTAAAGAAGGAATCACTGAGTACTGGGGTACAACTCGTTCAATAGTAGTGCCAGAAGCAGAAGATGGTATAGGGGCATATTGAATGTATACATTCGTGACTGGCGGCAAGACGGTGCTACTTGGCTGAGCCAGCTGAACAAAAGGATTGGTCTCAGTTTGCTTGCCTGCTGGAGATGCTGGTTCCCCAACAGTCTCTTTGGAGATTGGCTTCGTAGAGTCTTCTTCGCGAGGGGCGCTTGTATCGTCTTTTGAACCGTCTTCCTTCGGGTTCTTCACAGGGGTATCCGGTTGTTTGTCGATGACCATTGTCGGAGGCCGGGAAGTTGTGGCAGGAATGACCATAGATTCTGAACCTTCGGGTCCTTTGTCAACGGGTTTCGGCGCATCATCCACATCAATAAGCAAACCCCCTTCACCTGAACCAACTTCTTTTGCGATATCTGCACTGGGGACTAGAATCTGGTCTTTAGGAGTTATCGAACAGACATGGTTGATGCATTCGAAGTAAGGCCTCCCGGTAAATACCTCATGTGCACAGGCATGATAGTACTCGGCAGCTGCGCCTTGAACAGTTTGATCGGGAAAGCCAAACGCTGCGCTACTCAGGTCACTCGGGTCCTGGGCTTGCCCGTCGACAGCTTTATCATCGGCGAAAGGGTTGTTTTGAGAAGGCTGCCAGTCGGAGACACCTCGACTGGCCCTCGTCGTTACGGGTGTATCAGGTGAAAAGTACGATACCTCCTTCTCCCACCACTCATCGCTTGACCCTGTCAGATTAGTGGCAATACTGGGCACAGGAGGTGAATGTGTATCAATTAGTGTTCTTCGACTGGTGATTGTATTGGAGCGACCTAATAAAGGCGACAGGAGATATGTCCACCATCCCTGGGACTGGTGTCTATTAACTTCAGTATTAATACTTAACCGACTCATTCTGTCGATGCCACTCAAACGATCAAAAGCCCTCTTAACGCTTCCGTTGGAGTATGACCTTGAACGAAGCCCCGACCGCGATTGGAAGTCTTCCTCGAAGACTGTACCTGTGGAATATGCACGTTGTTTCCTAGATGTCGCAGACTGCCTTTTGAGCATCTCTTGGTCCGTAACTTCACCTTTTGTCACTGCATGCTCTGCTGGAATAGCTGGTACAGGCGGAATATCTAACTCGCTCTTTTCTATACACGGGGTGGGTTGGGAGTAAATGCTAGATGTGACCCTGGGAGGGTTGCAAACTTGGCTAAAGCCTGCCCAAAAGTCATCTTCTCTTGCCGGGGTGACAACTATTGAGGGTGTGAGCGGCGTCTGCTGGATATCTGTAACGTCAAGCTCTTTAGAATATCTTTTCCGCGAACCTGTGGTTTCTTCGCGCGGCATGCTGAACCCAATCATTATCGGCCGGTCTGATGGAGATAAGTCGTCCTTGCCTCTCCGTTTTGGTGAGCCACTAGGCCTCCAGTCAAACAAGGAAGATCTCCATGTCGCGGGGTCCGGAGGCTCGCCTGGAGTCCTCTGGGATCTTTGGCTCGTTCCTTTCTTCAGGATGCCCTTGACTTTCTGCGCCGACCTTTCTTCTGCCCTTTCCCTTGAAAGGACCTTGAGGTCATTTAAATCCACGAATCCCTCCTCCGGTATATCATCCCGGGGTTTCGGTGGTGTTAACGAAAAATCGGTGACCAGATTCAATCCCACAGGCCGCTCGGTATTCTTCTTGGCCGCTGGCTTCGGCTCGCCCGCACTCTCTGCCGCCTTTTGCACGAAGTAGTAACTATTGGCTTCACGCACCGGCTCCTTGTCTTCCAGCCGTAGTTCGTATTCTACTTTGCGAGCAAATGGGCTCTGGCTGGACACTTTAGCCCCCAGATGATCGAAGGGACGAAGCTTTTCCACATCCCGCTCATCCGGAGACGAAGAGATTGGAGTAACAACCTCTTCTGTGATTGGGGACGACAGGGGAAAAGTCGGGATTGGAGGAATCCGCAGCTCAGCTTGCGGCTTCTGGCGCTTCCAGCCCATCGTCCTGTGCATTGTCAATGCAGGCCGGCTTATAAAATACTTAGACCCGAAGTATTGGTGGGACCACAAAGTAACATACCTTACTCAGATGTGTATATCAATTAGAACAAACGGCTTCTCCACGGACCAGTAGGAGAAGTCATATGCACAAGGGCGTGGTATCGGGTTTAAAAGTCCATTCAAGCAGGAAAATTCAGACAGTAGACAAAGGAACACTTTAACAGTGTATTATCCCTGCCGACCAAGCATCCGGGAGAGTGAATGGGGGTGTCAGTCAATAAAACAAAAGAGAACAATGGTACTTCAAAGTGACAATGCGAACCCGTGTTAATCAGACGTCGTGACCATGCCTTCCAATCCTGACATAAGAAACACTTGAATATGTTTTCGGGGTTGGATTTGTTGCTGGGACGCGTAAATTGAATGATAAATGGCAGACTAGGAGGAGGAATATAATCGCAACACAATGAGACGAGGAAGGATTCCGATGGAAGAGGGCAAATCGGATGGGAAAACATTCGCTGAAGAAGTAACTTACTCACATCTATTCTTATTAGTCTAGGAGCTCATGCATCAGCGCTCAGGACCTCGAACCCTTCTATTGGGCACTACTCTTCTGCAGAATGCTAAATCTCCGTGCTCCATACTAGTACATGCGGGAGCTGACGATGTCTGAGCTACCTTCATTGGACGAGAAACTCTGGTGACCCCGGCTAAATGCAGACCGGGGGTCCAGGTTTGATCAAGTATTGGCCCGAAGAAATATGCAGGAATGTTTGTAGCCGCCATGATGGAGTCGTGGGTACGGCGCTTATTCAAGACACCGAAGAAGTGGTCGAGAAGCTTCCGGGCGCCAATCAGGACATTTATCTCGAGATCTCCCAAGACAAAAATAGATCCGACACCGGGTGGTCTCCCAATACTTCAAGTATACGTATCTATATACATTCCTCGTCCAAAATCAATTGGACAATAGATAATTGCTTCAGATGTACAATGACTCACGGAGCACTCGTACCAGTTTTTGGCAAAAAAAAAAGAAGGTTAGGTTTCGGTGGACGTTCAATAAATCAATTCACATTTGGTCCCAATAACCATTCGGGACGCTTCATCAACATAATAATCACATAGACCTTGGGGATATCAAATGAAACACCATACACACTCCTATTCCAAGCTGGTTTGCGCTTTTTCGTTTTGGTACACACGCACTATAAAGGCACCCACTGTGTCAACGGTGAGGACAAACATAATGAACATACACTTCCCATATCCAGATCCAAACCCCAGATATCTTGTCTCAGATGCGAATAGATGAATCATGATGCAAAACTTTATGAGAGAGAAGGGAAATAAAGACGTCGAGGCCAGGTTCAATAAGACACCGCGGCAGAGCGCCTGCCACTGAAGAAAATCAGGGAAAAGGCACGATGATGGTGAGACAGAATGTTCGCGCTCAGGAAAAAGAAAAAAAAAAAAAAAAAAAAAGGGGGACGGAACCACCCGAATCAAATCTACAAGTGAGCTACAGAATAAGAAGATGACGTTTCCGCGTTCAGGGCGCAAGAGGCTGAATAGAACAGGCTCAGGACCGACATACTCGTATCACAGCCATGTCATAAAATAATCGCGTAGAGAAGATTTCCTTTGTTGTATTACCGTCGCTCATCGGTGTACTGCACGCCTTGCATTGGTGCGACAGACCCATTCATCAGAGGCGGTAAAGTCCGTGGCTGCTCCTGCGTCATCCCAGCGGCTGGGGCGTAACTAGGAAACATAGCGCCATGTGATTGCCCATTAGCCTGAGGCGTGGCCATCGAATGATGCTCGAACATTGACTGCGGTCGTGATTGCCCATTAGCTTGTTGTTGTTGTTGCTGCTGCTGCTGATTAAGCTGGGCCCGCATGTCGTCCATTTCGGTCCGGAGGAGATCGTTCTCCCGGCGAGCGTTGCTCAGCATCTTCTCCAGTTGCCCAATGTATTCAATTGCTACCAAAGAGTTAGTATGGTAACTTTAAATAGACATAGGTAACTGTATCATTACCTCTTGTAAGAGTCTCCCATTTACTTGACTTGTTGTTCTGGCTTTGCGGGAGGCGCATCCGCAGAGCCTCGAAGCAATCCTTCATCTCGCTACGGCGTTTCCGCTCCGCCAACTTATGTGTCACCCTCAGCTCAGGTGTTCTGCTGTACGGGGTACTGCCGCCGTGTAGGTCGGCCTCTCCAATCAGTCCACGAACTTGTTTATGTTGTAGCGAATGATGGTGGACATTTTGAGGGAGTTCTGAAGCATAATCAGTAATTGATAACTCCACCGACCGGCATATGTTTTTCGAATATCAGACTGACATACCATGCTGACCACGAGGCAAACGGGAATCCGAGTAGATGCTGCTTGAAAAGGATTCCGCCGTGCTCCCTTTTCTGCAAAACTGTGCGCTCGACTTTTCGGTCGTAGAAGAGATTGAATTGGACCGTGCAACATCCGGATCTGGGAAAGCGTACGCAAGACCAGCTGTGGGCGCCTCCGCATTATAAATTTCCGAGCGAGGGTTCGACGAGATCGCGGGCGCAGTGCGGCCAGCCGCAAATCCACGATGTTCGCTAGCCCGTGGGCCCAAAGGGGAGAGAGGCTGTCCCCCAGAATAGCGAGGGCCTCGGTAAGTATTATTCATATTCACATCCATAGATATTCCACGCTCCCGCTGTAACCCCGAGACAATCGATGTCTGCGACGCATTCGTGCTATGATAGGGAGAAGCGGGGTTGATGGCAAGAGAGCTTATTCCCTGATTCATCCGACTATCAATACTGCTCCGTCGCGACTCCGCTGGTTCTGCAATACTACCTCTTTGAGATGGCGCGTCATAGTTCTGGTTAATGGAAGGAAGCGTTGAGTTTGGCTGCGCCGAGCCAAAGTTCGGAGATGGCTGCGCACCCGAGGAGGAGGGGGTATTGGCGTTCGAATGGTCGTTATAAGGAGATCGATCGGAGACCGTGGACACGCGATTGGGAGACGGCTGAGAGGACGTAAGGAATGAAAGAGAAGGGTAGTTCCCGGTCCCATTTGTCGCGGTGGAGTAGGTAGAGGATCCTGAACAAATCATGTCAGCACTCCTTAGCCAACGAAGGTAGTGCGGAGATTTACTTGTGCTCTGAGGCATAGACCAATTCCCCGAATCGCGCTCAATTGTGTTCAACGACACATTACCGGGCGACTTCTCCGCCGGAGGAGCAGCGGTGCTGGTCATGCTCGCTGTCAACGTCGATATCGAGGGGAGGGTCTGCGATGAAGATACTGTAGGGGTTTGGGGTCCAGTGGTGGCTGGCTCCCATGGCCGATGGGTAAGTGTGGCTTCCATGGTCGATTATTCACGGTATGCGTGCCAATGCGGAAAACGAAAAGGGATCGTGATAAAACGAGGGTCCTGGTATTGAATCTAGGATAGACCGATTCAAGCGCACTTATCTCATGTTCCACGAACAAATAGGCAGGCAGTCAGATGGGTCGAACTGTCGGTCTGATTTTCAAGACGATAGAATTTCTGTCGTTGCGAGAAATGACCCCAGAATCGTGTAACTAGCACTTATTCCAGATCTCAACAGTGGCGATTTGCTGTCGCAGAAACGTCCAGAGCGTACCCAAGGTTGCTTCTCTGTTTCTAAATACCCCGCAAAATACTCACTGCAATCCAGAGTCCGGTTTAAGGGATCAAAAAGACACTCTTCCCGTGATGTCTATGCGTGACTCGGCAATGCGACACGAAGGGTATCCGTCAACCAGGAACCAGTCGGACGTCGACCCACAACACACAAAATCCACCACGCAGAAATTTTTCCACTGTAAAAACCAAATTCGATATTAGAAATCCCTAATATATAAGGATGTCGAGAAGTATAGGTTATGAAAGAGCAGGTCTGGGCGGGCGGTAGAGGACGGACGTTTGAGGGGGTGGAAATAACGTGGTAGGTGGTAGGAATGGCCAAACCAAGTGTACTGGCGAAACACCGGGTGGGAAATTTGGGGGTTTTAAAAAGAAAAGTAAAAATATTTTAAGTAAAAAGGAAAGGTTAATTATTTTCCCTTAAGAATGACAATGCAAATTCACGTCAGCATGAGATGCGGAAATTAGGTACAGACGGTAGCAGGCAGAGCCAATAATGCTGGACCATGGGTTCGCAGGTGATGAATCTCACAGAGAGCAGCTTACCTTAAAAACGAAAGCGCAAACGCTCCAGAGGCCCAGCGGAACGTGGCACAAAATCCAAAGGACGAACAATTGGGCAGGAAGAAAGCTGTTTAGGGCAGGGATCCCGACCGATGATGGCCAGCAGAACTTTATTAAGACCAGCGGGAAAGTAGTATAGGCTTGCGCCAGGGTGTTTGAAGACAGACAGGAAAAGAGAGGCGGGGAACTAAAGGAGGGAAGGAAAGAAGAAAGGAGGTATTCCTCCAGAGGCAGAGACGAAATAGGTCGAATTAATTGTGAACGTGAGAGGAAAATATGATGGGAGTAAGAAAGTAGGGTAAGGGAAAAAAAAAATTTAGAAAAAAAAAATTGGGTTGCGAATAGGTAATAATAATAATAGCAACTGGGAAGAAGGAATACGGAGGAGGAGTGTACCTCAAACAGTGGAACTCCAAGAAGTTTGGAACTCGATCAAGTGGGAAGGACTAAGGCAATCTAGTCGCGGAAGCTATCGACGTGATGTTCGGCCTAATAGGTTGGGGCGGCAGTGGAATCGAGGGATGGCTGAAAGAAAATAGAATTGCAGCAGACAGGTAAAAAATTACTGCGTCGGAGTTGATAGTTCCCGTACCAAGTTCCGTATTAAGACGCGAGACAAAGGCAAGAGACTCGTCAATATACCCTAACCCAGGTGATGAGACAGGACAGAATGCTCTGAAAATGGATAAAGGTCTTAATTCACAATAATTGGGAGAAGAAGGGCTAAATCGATAGTGCAAAAACAAAAGATCTGTTGAATCGATGTGGAAGGACGTATTATACTACTACCTAAACCGGAGATGACCGTCCCTGTAATCCACTGCCAGTCGCCTAAAAGGAGAGAAATAAAAATGAGAGTCAAGAGTGCTAGTAAGAGGATTTATGACGAGACTAGTTGACAGATACAGTTCATCCCACTGGGAAAATTAGATTTATAGGAGCAATTTAAAGTGATCATGACCGACTCTATGGAAACTTCAACACATGGTGCATGGTGCAGTCCCTAGTCACTCGCATACCCCTTTCTTATCCAGATCTGGTCCTGTACCATGCCATCATAAGTCAAAAAATATAAATAAAAATAAAAATAAATCAAATTGAAATTGAAATTGAAAATGAAAATATTAAAGTATGATGCATGCAATCACAGATCACTACCCTATACTGACAGTGTTTTAAGTCCTCTTGCCTGTATTGCACGCACGCTGTATACCCACAGACATTGACATGCTTTTGGTTTCTAATCCTGAAAAAGGAAACAGTCTCTACATATATCTGACCAAATAACATCACATCGGAAGTCTTGATGTTGGTTCACTAACGGTTTGGTGTAACTGCCAAGCAGAAGAGAAAGAAAAGAAAAAAAAAAGTAAATATGGATAAAGAAGGGAAAATACTGGAGGAATTTTACCCGATTTATGCACATCACCTGTTACTACCAGCAGTGAACACGAGGGACATTTTTAAGGTGATCAGAGACCGGGTAAAGGCATACCAATTAAACATTCATATGACAGCCGCCGCGACACTCAAGCTGTCGGATATTGCGGAGTAGTTAACAAAAAAAAAAAAAAAAAAGTGCCGATCTACTCTCGGAGGAAACACGAAGAAGAATAGATACTGGATAAAACCCATCAAGTAGTAAGTAGTAGTCTAGTCAAGCACTAGACCTAGAGAGAAGCGCACTACTGCATGGAAATGGGACACAGGGGCCACTGCCACGAGGCCGTCTTCTCTGGGGGTCAAACTCAACTGGGGGTACGTACCCGTACCCTCCTTTAACACCATCATCCATGGTTACTATCGAGCCATATTTTTGAGTCATTAAAGCATGGCCATTGAACAGTTCCCCAACTTCTGTTGAATGCCCGGTACCAAACTTGAGATTACTCGACCATCCAATAGTACTCCAAATAAATACCCTGTTTGAATTAAATATTATTCTCGAGTCTCTCTTCACCTCCAGAAATATTCGAGTCGACAGCAATACACACATATACACTCTTTATACATATGGTCTGTTTCTGTAGACATCGCCATTTGTTTACAGATATAAGACAATAGGTAGATGGTACATATATCCCTGAAGCTTGTCCGCCGTGTAGCCTTGTGATCCTCATTGCCAGCACCTTTGTGATCAGACCCTGTTCATGTTACTCGACGTATATAGTAACGGTGCGTGCGCTATCCAAGATACTGCACCTTCATCAGTCCGACACCTTCCCTTTTAATTCTCTCCTCCGTAAAGTTTGGCGCGGAATAGCCGAGAGATCTGCCCTTTTAGAAATTGTAAGGACTTATCTTGGCAATCCTCTTGTCGATCTGACCTGGCAATACAGTACGAAGTACATACAAAGACGGCTAGGGTGAGGGTCTTAATGTCTAATTCTTTTTTTTTTCTTCCTTTTGCTTTGCCTACCCCCCGCCCCACTCTGCATCTGCGTGTCGAGCCGGGGACCGGACATTGAAAGGACCTCATAAATGGAGCCATGCTAGCCGATGGAGGCTTAACTCAAAACAGGGTAGGGCATGTTTGCCAGAACTTCTATCGGCCACGGGGGTCCCCACTTTTCAAGGTAGAAAGTCAAAGATCCATATTGGAATTAGGTAGTCCAACGGGGGAAACTTTGTAAGTTGGTTGTCTGCCTGTTTGAAACTTAGCCCCGGGGAGGAGGGGGTGTTCTGCATAATGGGATGGGTGGTAGTGGAAAATAAGTAAAAACGGTAGGGGAGGGGGGGAAGAAAAAAACGATCTAAAAAAATAAAAATAAAAAGAGACATTTCTCACAAATGGATGGATGGTGGAATCTATTTGCAGTTGCCCCTTTGGTGCTTAGTGTCAATTAAAAGCAGCAGCTTGGACCAACCGGGAAGTGGGGCCCAACATCCATTGGAGGGGAAAGCAGATCCAGTCCTAATCAACGTATCAGAATGCCAGAAACCGCCATGGCAAATGCATCCTCCACGCCTGCAAAATGTCCCGTGGCCTGAAGAATTTCGGCACCTCCAAGTCCGTACCCACGGCGCTGGTTGATGAAAGAACACGTTGTTGTATGGGTCAAACATTCCTCGACGAGGGGTAACAACGCGAGGGATGGTACTGGACTTGGCAACACCACGAAGTAAGGGAAGGCCTTTTTCTTAGAATCAATTATTACATCATGGGACTGAGATCTCCGCGTCATTGGAATTTGAAACTCGTTCTACTTTTTCCCGGTAGCGTGTTTGTCTCAGTCGCATGGAATCATACAACACGATGATCGATCATTGCCATGGGGTGTGCGATTGGATCATACCTTAATTAATTAAGTACTATTATTATTGTTAAGCTCCGCAGATGTACACGATAAAATACGAGTCGATCGTATCCATGTTGGTCCGTACTCGATCTAGACTGCCGTAATCGCGATTAGCCACATCATCAGCACCGAACGGTGTCCGTACTTATGAAAGGGTTAAGAAACAGGGCCTAATTTGTCCTATTTATTCCGACCTTGCAGGATAATATTATAGATATCAATGAGCAGTTGATAGTAAGAGGAGAAAAAGATAAATTTATCACGGTATTTGTATGACTTTTTAAGTGACTGGTCATCGCAGGTTGGACAAAGTTGGGGAATAGAGAAAATAAAAATTACAGAATGATAAGAATGACAATACGCACTGGGAGGGTTAAGGGACAAAAAAAATAAAACTAAAAGAGGAACAAGCCCATTCATAGTACTTAGTCCTCGACCTCCTCGGTCGGCCACGATCTCGATACAGACTGCTTTCACGTGGCCGCACTGAACGATCGTCCTCAGGGGTCCCATGGGCTGCGAACTACCGTTACAGTACTGTACTCGGTGGCACTTGGATGAGTGGGAAAAAAAAGTAACCGGTACCTCCTTGCAGAAACGGAGTGCCCGGTCAGCACTGGTCATTCAGAAATATGCTCTTGTCAGATCATTTTCCCTGATGGGATTCGGGCTGGGCGTCTGGTTAGGGTCTTGCTTAGAGGTTCCCTGATGCTGAAATATACGCTCAAGGTACCGGATGGTTGATGCTAACCGCCGTTTCTGTGGATTATTGTCCACTTGATGTTGGTTGGTATGCATACATACATATCATGCACAAGGCGGGTAATACTATGTATAGATCATACAAAGTCATACATACCTTGTATGTACCGTGTCATGACAGCTCCGCACACGCCGAATCTATGCATTAGCGACCGGGGCAGTCTCCCTGGAAGGTGATAAAATACCCTGGGATAATATAGCGTCGCATATACTGACTAAAGGAGCTTAGTAAGGTAACCTTTGGGCACTGTTCTTTTGGTAGTTTTTCCCATACATCTCGCTCAATACTTCTCTCTATCCCTTGCTCCCAACCAGTCAGGGAAAGGAAGAGTAAAGCTTCGTGAGTCGGGAATGACGACAGAAAGAAGAGTATTTTGACTTTTCAGCGAGGGAAAAACACATGGCAACCACGGTGGAATGATCGCCGCTAAGAAAAACTTGGTTTGTCACTCAAGGTTCTGGACTAGCCGTCGGTGTTCACTGGTCCAGCCACTGAGCAAGCCAAGAATCCAGGAAGAAAATGGTGCGTGGTTCTAAGTCACTACTAGTCAAGTGTCTTGCTTATTTGAGTAGTATATTCTCTCGACCTACCACAGGGAGAAAAAGGGAAACGGAAAGGGAAAGAAAGAAATGGTGGTGGAATGGAACAGTACTCATGCAACCGTCCATCCACCTCTTGACACATCAAAAAATTAGTAAACTTTCTTTTCTTTTCTTTAATCTTCTCATGGAGCACCCAAGACTTTCATCTCTGAGGTGATGGAACGCAAACACTTGCAACCATGTCAGGAGGCGCCAATACTAGCCATGAAGCCAGCATCTGCATTCATACAGTATCATCACCCCGCTTGGGTGGAATGTGACCATGCATACATGCATATACACATGTGGACAATGTGCAGATAGTACTAGTAGTAGGGTGCATCGTTGAACTGGGGCATGATCGACTACTTTCCCCATCCTCCCTTCCCACCCTTACCTACCAAGGTCTAATGGAATCAGTATTACTATACAGGCTATATAGTATTATTCACCACTTTGGATTCCCTCCAAAACCCAAGTAACCAAGCCGTTGTCATATCCACCATGATGGATGATCGTCATGCTAGTAGTCTCATCCCTTCCTGTCCATATGGGAGCTGGAAATGTTCAAATTATGTGGTGTCACCCGGTGGGATTGGCGCTTTGCTGACGTCTGGCGTGGCCATTGTTAGACAGGTGTTACCTCCCAATGCTTTGCCCTTACTCATGTCTCTGCGGAGCCTTGGAAGCTGATTCTAATTCATTAACACAATGTGCCAGATAATGAAACAAGAATCCAGATTATGTAAGAAACATGGTCAATGGAAGAACAAATGCACAGTCATCCACTAGTCAGACAATCTGTACCTGAGAACGAAGTCTGACACCCCGTTATCTCAGCCCTTTTCCGTCTGGGTGTGTATCATCCGAACGGTGCAAGGACCATCACCTTTTCTGTATTTCTTTTGTCGGCAACAGTACCGAAATCCTAACCTTCCTGGTTTATTTCTATTTTTTTTTTTTTTTGGTTTTTCATTTGGATTTAAATTA